TTTATCCCTGTGTTTTATTCTAAGAGTTTTATAGTTTTGAGTCTTCTATTTAGGTCTCTGATCCATTATGAGCTAATTTGCGTATATGGTGTGAGATTAGGGTCCAACTTCCTTCTCTTACATGTGAATATTATGGTAGATACTTTAATTATCCAGTTTACAGGTGAAAACACAAAGCTTGAAAGGTGTAAATGACCTCTTCAATGTCACATGGCCATTGTAGGTGATACTGGAATCCAATATCAGGTCCTAAGCTAGTCCTCTGTTCATCACACCCAAATGCCCTCAATGATATCCCTTTATTATTTTGTGAACAGGGAGTATGGAAACCACAGGCCTAGGAAATCAGGCACACATTCTAGTCTGACCCTATGCAAATTAATTCTCATCTCTGGCCTGTTCCCCTTCTGTACAATGGGTTGCTGATCTCTAAGCATCTTTCCTGCTCACACTGCTGAGGCCCTGAGAACCTCACACTCCATTGCCCTAATTTCTCCTCTCAGGAGGTGCAGGGGGAGCCTCCCAAACAGAACTGCCCTTTTGAAAGGAGCTCCCATTCTAGACCTCAGTCAGCCTCTGGAAAACATTCTCAGCATCCCTTGGAAGACACCTGCTGCCCCGAGCAGCCCCATAGGAAAACCACAGAACTGTGGAAAATGCAAGAGGAGTTCATGTGAGAAGGGCTTTCTTCACCTGTTGACAATTTTCTTCACAAGTGTCATAATGAAGCTATTTGAGAATCAGCTTGCAAAGCACCTGGCTCTAAATATCCCTGTCACACTCCTCCTTAGCAGAAACAGGACAGCTCCTCCCAAATGCTTAGCAGCAGGGCCTCACCCACAGTGGGGGCTCAATACATAGTTGAATGAATGAATGAACAGATGATGATGGCTCCACACATTTTGTTTCCCCTGATTACTTTAGACCAGGGCAAACTTTTTTTTTTTGGCCAGACGGTAAATATTTTGGGCTTTGCAAGCTATACCATCCCTGTCTGAACTACTTACTCAGTTCTGCCATTGAAGCACAAAGACAGCAGTAGACGATGCATAAATGTGTGGGTATGGCTGTGTTCCAAAATAAACTTTATTTATGCACACTGAAATTTTAACTTTATATAATCTTCATGTGATTCAACATATTCTTCTTGGGATTATTTTCTACCATGTAAAATGTAAAATCCAATTCATATCATAGCTTGAAGGTCGTGCAAAACAGAAGGTGGACTGTACTTGGTTTAGACATTTACTTTTTGTTTTTCATTTTGTTTTATTTTATTTTTCATCCCCCCCACCACCCCTCCCCTTTATCAACCACCAGCTAGTTCTCCATATTTATGGGTCTGTTTCCATTTTGTTTATTCATTTGTTTTGTGTTTTTAGATTCCACATATTAGTGAAATCATCGGGTATTTGTCTTTCTCTGTCTGACATATTTCATTTAGCAAATGCCCTCTAAGGTCCACCCATGTTGAGCGAATGGCAAGATTTCTTTTTTATGGCTGAATAATATTCTATTGTGTTTGTATGTGTATACAACATCTTTTAAAAATATTTTTTAAAGATTTTATTTACTTTAGAGAGATGAGGAAGGGAGGGAGGAAGAGAGGAGGTGAAATATCAATGTATGGTTGCCTCCAGCACACCCCATACTAGAGACCTGGCCTACAACCCAGGCATGTGCCCTGACTGGGAAGCAAACCGGTAATGCTTTGGTTCGCAGGCCTGCACTCAATCCACTGAGCTACACCAGCCAGGGCCATATGATATCTTCTGTATCCACTTATCTGTTGATGGACATCTAGGTTGCTTTCACATCTTGTCTATTACTATTATAATAATGCTGCAATGAACATGGGGTACATATGTATATCTTTTCAAATGAGTGTTTTTGTTTTCTTCAGATAAACACCCAGAAGTAGAATTGCTGGGTTGTATGGCAGCTCTATTTTTAATTTTTTGAGGACTCTCTGTACTGTTTTTCTACAGTGGTTGCACCAATTTGCAATCCCACCAACAGTGCACAAGGGTTCATTCGCTCACCAACTTGTTATTTTTTTAATCTTCGCCCAAGGATATGTTTATTACTTTTAGAGAGGGGGGAGAGAGACAGACATCGATGTGAGAGAGAAACAGAGAAGCATCTTTCAGTTGCAACCTGTACATACCCAACCACAGATTGAACCGGCCACTTAGGTATTTGCCCTGAGTGGGAATCAAACCTGCAATAATTTTGGCGTATGGGATGATGCAACAACTAACTGAGCAACTCAGTCAGGGCTGTTATTTGTTGATGTATTAATGATAACCATTCTGACAACTGTGAGGTGATATCTCACTGTGGTTTTAATTTACACTTCTCTGATGATTCGTAACACTGAGCATCTTTTCATATGTCTGTTGGCCATCTGTAGGTCCTCTTTGGAAAAATGTGTATTCAGATGCTCTGACCATTTTCAATCAGATTGTTTTTAATTTTAAATATGTATATTTTTAGTATTAAAGCAATATATATTTATTATGGAATAATTAGAAATTAGTGGCATATAAATAAAATAAAATTAGAATCATCCATAATTTCAACATACAGTGATAACTACTCCTACTAATAGATATTTCTATCTCTCTATCTCTCTCTCTATCTATCTATCTATCTATCTATCTCAGTACTGCCCAATGTGATATCCACCGGCCACAAGTGGCTATTTAACTTAAAACTAAAATTTGATAAACTTTAAATGTTCAGTTTCTCAGTCCACTAGTGACATGACAAGTGTCACTACGCATTTGTGGTTAGTGGCTGCCACGCTGGACAGCAGACACAGAACATTCCTACCATCACAGAAACTTCTATCGGACAGCACTGATCTATCTATATTCATATGGATTTTACAAAAAAAGGACAATACCAAATAAACTTTTTTGGTGAATATTTTTGCTCACTTAATATTTTGAGATGACATTTTCATATCATTCAATATTCAACACCTACGCATTATTGGAGACATTCCGTCCATGCAACAGATGTCCCTTCAGAGTCCTCGTTATTGTACATTTGCTTCCAGTTCTTTTGCTACAATAAACAAAATGTTGGTAAACCACTTTTTTACTAAACTTTTGTACCATTTATTGTCTTAGGATAGATTTGTAGAGGTTTAATTACTAGGTGAAAGGGCAAGCTCATTAATAATTTTTTAAAAAATAGAATACCTAGTTTCTCTCCAGAAAATCTTTGATCATTTGTACTCTCATCAGCAATTTATGACATTGTCCACTTCCTTTAAATTCCACAAATAATAATAATTATAATAATAAAAATGAGAACATTTTGGCGAGTGAAATTTTTTCATCACTTTCACTTGGCTTTCTTTGACAACTTCATTACCTTCTCTGTTTATTGACCATTTGACTTCTTCGGGTCTTGGGCAGGAAAGGGAATTGTCTTCATAGCTTCAGGAGTGTCTAACCCATGGCCTGTGGGCCTCATATGGCCCAGAATGGCTATGAATGTGGCCCAACACAAAATTGTAAATTTACTTAAAACTTTTTTTTTTTGCTCATCAGTCTTCATTAGTGTTTGTGTATTGTGTGGCCCAAGACAACTCTTCTTCCAGTGTGTCTCAGAGACACCAAAAGGTTGGACACCCCTTGGGGTATAAAGGAAAAATTGCTCGATTTATAGCCCTGGCCTCATAAAGTTCTGCAAACAAGGTAACAAAATTAACAAGCTAAGGAAATTGTCAAAGCTCTCTCAGTTTCAGCAGAACTCTAGATTAATTGTATTTTCTATTTCTTTGAATTATTTATTCTTATTGTTTCTGTTCTCTGCAGTCACAGACCACACTAGGGTACACATGGTTTATTGAAAGTTTTTATTTATTTGATTGCATTATATTTATCTTAAACTCTTAATTCCTAGGACTACAGTCCTCCCTGTCTAATCAGACATAAGGCAGCCTGGATTTCTGAAAGACATAAAAGGGGAGGTGCCTCAGGGTTTTGCAAGGTTCAAGTAGACTAAATAGTTACCTGATGAAACTGAGTGGGGAAAACCAAACAGCGCTATTTCTTGGCCTTTTAAGGTCTGGAATCTCCATTCAACCATTTATTATGAGCACTTGGGGATCTCATGTTCTGATGGGCAGTCTTTTGTCTTCGATTTTACCACTGATGCATCATTTTCCCAGATATCTTTAGAAAGCTACAGGGCTATCAGTCATTTACACTTTAGTATTAACTAGTTTTCATACAGCATTTTAATTCTTAATAAAGCACCTTATCACATCTCCAATTTCATTTACACCCACGAATAAGGTACTATCACTGTTGCTTCCATTTCTGTTTAGAAAATTGAGAATCAGGGACATGCAGTGACCTGCCCTATATCTTGCAGAAGGAACCATAGACTCCTAGTCCAGTGCTCTTTACTTTGCACCCACAATGCACAAGCTATTTGCCTTCTGGAGCTGGTGGGCCAGGAGGTGTTAAGTGAATTGCGGCTTGGAGGGCTGAGCAGAGGGAGAGAGGCATAAGCTCACTCACTGGGAGGTAGAGAGGGGAAAGGAATGATGCTCTTTCCCTACACTCCATAGGAGACCTTTTCTGATTCTGACTTTAGGGTTCCAGAGCTTGGGTTCTGGGCTGCCAAGTGCAGTTGGGTTATCTACACTCACCTGCAGTCCCAAGGGTCCAGAAAAAGGGACAAGAGGTAATTAAGGTCGAGGTTAAATCAATCAATAGAGCCGCCCCCCTTTTAAATACGGGTTCCCACAGCCCGCGCCTTCAGATAGGCTCCTCGGCCGCTTCTTCCACCACTCCAACCCTTTTTCCCGGCCCTCGCGGTCCCTCCTCAAGGCCCCCGACTCCTGCGCCCCCGATGAGATGAGCGGACTCTACCCCTGCCCCACCTTCCCCCCTCCCCCCGGGGGCGGTGGTCCATGGCGGGCACAGTCATTGGCTAGGTGCAAGTGAGGGCTGGGGCAAGTAGCGCTGATTGGCCCGCGCTACCCGGCGGAACCAGGGAGGCCCGCGAGTCGCTGGGGGAAGCGGGGCAGAGACCCAGCGCAGCCTGAAAGCAGGGCGCAGATCCCGCAAATCGAGCCCTGCAGATCGGAGTCCGCACAACAGAGCTGGGGCCTGGAGGTAAGGGCGAGGCGCTGGGTTGTGCGGGGCGGGCCCTTCTGCGAGGGAACCGAGATGGAGTCCAGATGGAGTCCTTTGGCCCTGCCCCCAGGGAGCAGAAACCCGGCATCTCTCTGAAGCACGGCCATGAGACGGTGATCCTCTCCCCCCCAAAAGAGGTCTCTCACCTTCCAGAGAGCAAGTGGTGTCCTTTTTTCTTCAGAAATGGGCTCCTCCTCTTGTCCCTGGGCTCTAGAGATGAGGTCTCCCTGATTTACCCCTTGGAATGAAATGTGCCCAAAGTGGGGTCCAGTGTCCCCAGGTATCTAGGACCCTCTCATCTCTTTGGAGACTCGTGTCACTTCCCCCTGCCTAAAAACTAAGTTTGGATTTCTTTCCCCCCACCCTTCTGAAAAATGGGGTCTTCTCAGCACATAGGTAACAGTGTGTTCTATGGAAAATGGAGGCTCCCAGATAGCCTGTGAAATAAGCCTCTTTTTAAGACAAGGACCTCCCAGGGCAGAGACTCTGCATGTCACCCTCAAACCCAAATATGGATGTCTCTGCATCTCCCCCTCAGAAACCAGGCTCTGGTAATTGCCTTTAGAGGCGATTTCCTGCCCTGACCTTCCAACACCCCCTCCCCACTCGTGAGAAGGACATGGTTGCCTCTGACACCAACACATAAGGTGCTTGGGGGGTTTCCCTCTTCCTTCAGTCAAGACGTGCAACAAGGGGTTTTTACACTCAGAAACAAGGCAAGGGTCTGGATCCAGACCAAGTCACCCCATGTCACTCCACCCCTATCTAACCCTTTTACACACACCCCATCCCATTAACACCCCATACCCACCCCTGCCCACCTCACCTAACCCCGTGCGTCCCCATCTGTACTGCCACACCTCACTGCTCCACTTAATTCCATCCACCTTTCCTCACTCTAGCCAGAGATAAGACTAGAAGCAGAGGATTAATAAGAAGGCCTAATGACTAAGCCCTTAAAACTGGGGTCCTGAGCGTAGAGACTCTTCTAGGAGCCTCCAAACTCTGACAGCAGAGATGACCTCTAAGACAGCAGAACTAGCAGGGACTCCAACCCCCCCCCCGCCCCAACACCTACTCACCCCCACACACCCCAAAGACCATGTTCAGAATATCCTCCCCAGAGGCAGTCTAACTCCTCTCCTGGAGAAGGGGGTGTCCATGCAGAGAGAAGAGCCCCCTGTTTGCTCCCTGGGGCTGCCCCTTCCCACCCCAGCTCCTTGGGCATTGCCCAGTGGAATTCCCTGGGTGCTTCATCAAAGGAGATGGAGGCTGCGGGAACCATCCACTGGGCTGGAGATGGTATTGGCTTCGCTGCCTTGAAGAAGCTGGTCTAAGGGACAGGATACTGGGAACGGCTCTTCTCCAGTGGGTCAGATTGTGGGGACTGGGAAGAGAAAGGCAAGGAGCTCTTCCTTGCTCTTTGGAGCTTCCCCTGCAACCGTGAGTATGAAGAAATGTGTGTCCTGGGTGTCCAAAGAGGTTAGCCCTGGGGAGAGAGAAATGGCCCAGTTCTGGAGCCCTAAGACCTCGAAGGGCTTCTGGATCAAGAATCTCTGCCCCTTCCTTTGACAGTTAAGCAAACAGACGCACAAAGAAGGGAGGAGACTTACTCAAGGTCACCCAGCCAGTGGGTGACAAAGCTGCTCATGGCCTCTCCAGGGTTTGTGGGGTTCCAGGGTCCTGGACACTAACTACCTCCAGTCTTCACATTTACAACCCGGACCACTGGGTGCTGCCGTCCACACTTGTCAGAGGAGGTGCTGAGGCGCTGCCAATGTCACACAGCTAGGAAGGGGCAGAGCCGGAGCTCAGCGCCATCCCCAATAGGCCACCTTGTAGAATCCATTCCTGTGAGTTTTCACTTCACTATTCACCCTGTGTGCTATTTCTATTGAGCCCACTGCCAAATTTAGGCATGCCGAGACCCAAATAGACTCAGGACAGCATATAAGATTGGTTGCAATATGCTGGAGCCCAGACTCCTGCTGGACCCTCAGTTGCATAGCTAGGTTTGCTCCCGGAACTATGGACGGGGTCCGAGGAAGTTATGTCCCCTTCATCCAGGGCCTCTTCCCTTTCAGTCCCTGGACATCCTCTTTGGCTCTGAGTTCCCTGCAGCAATCTCCCATCCCTGCTCAGAGCACAGCTTCTTTTCCCGAGGCCTTGGATGGAGGACACGAGCTGGGACTCTGGCCTGTCATACTCCAGTGTAGAACAGCAGCCAGTCATGGTGCCAAGGTGAATGTTTACAGCATGAAGGGACCATGGTGCACAGGGGTTGAGAGCTTGGTCTCTGACCCCTCTTATCTGGGTCTAGAGCCCAAACCTACTGTTTGCTATGTGATATTGGGGAAACTAGCAAGCTCTCTGTGACCCGATTCCCTCAGGGTCCTTATTAGAGTAAAATGAGTTAATCTTCATAAAGTGTATATAGCATGCAGTAAATGGAAACAATGATTATGACTATAAGCCCAAAGTCTAAAATGGTAGGGAGGTTGGGCTTTTAGATAAAACTTAAACCTGCCCTATAGATAATCTGCTAGGGTCCAAGCCAGTGAAAAGTCAGCTGGCACTTGGAGATAAGAATGATATTTGCCCAGAGAGAGTGCAGTATATGGAACAGAGTACAGATTTTTAAGTCAGATGAGGCCAAAAGTCAACTCCTGGGTACTGCTGGCTGTGGGGCCTTGGGCAAGTCATTCACCTTTCTGAGCTGTAGTGTACTTGAATGAGGTTTGTTGTTAGTAAGGCAGGCATCAGATTAGAGACAGGTCAAGAGCATAGTTTCTCATCATTGGCACTGTAGACATGTGCGACTGGAGCCGTCGCACTGTGGAGCCATCCTGTGCACTGTAGGATTCTCAGCATCATTCCTGCCCTCTACCCATTAAATGCCAGTTGCAACCCTCTCTAGTTTTGGCAATGGAACTGTCTCCGAGCATTGCCTGATGACATTGCCCTGGGAGGCAAACTCATTTCCCCCATGCCCACTGAGGACCACTGGTCTAATATATGTGCCTTGCACAGAGTTGACACGATATCAGACAGCATCCTCCTTGCTCGGGCTCCCTCATTCTGTTTCCTGCCTGGAAGCAGGGCAAGCAGGTGGTGCTCAGCCCTGAGCCCCCCAATGCTAATCACAATTTTAAACAGGACTCTGCTATGCCAATTTACTTTCAGGTGTATTACTCTAGGTTTCCCACTTCACAGATAAGCAAACTAAAGCTCACAGAGGTTAAATGACTTCCTAAGGGTGTCACTTCCTATACTGCTAGGGATCAAAGGAACAGGCATGCTCACTTTAAAACGGTTTTACAAGTAACCTACTTCTGGAATAATCTACTTCTTCAGAAGATCATTTGACAGTCTCTTTCAAAATTTAAAATCCATGCCCTTTGGTCCAGCCATCTCACTTTGAGAAATCTGTAGGAATGCTCACGCGTGCACACAGAGAGAGAAACACAAGACTGCAGGTTTTTTTAAATACCAGCAAGGGAAGGAGCTATATTACGGTGCAGTCACATGGGGAAGTGAGTGTCTTTTTAGAAGAATGAGGTAGGTCTACATTCCTGACCTGGAAAGTTCCCCGAAACTTTATTATCTCATGAAAATGATAAAGTCACAGGATCAATATATAAAGTGTAATCCCATTTTTGGAAAAATAATACATGTAAATAATATAAAAATAGGTAGTTAGGGAAGTGAGGAGGATGAAAATGACCTATACAAATAAGGAAATTTTAATGGAGGAAGAAGAAAGAGTATACTCTAGCCAGCTTCGCATTCACTAAAAATGAGCAAAGTAGAGCCCACGGAGGTGGAGATTTGCTTGGAGTCACTCAGCCAAGAAGTACAACAGTGGAACTCCAGCTCAAGTCCTGAACCCCAGGCTGTGCCTCTCTCAGCTGCCTCTACCCCCAGTGTCTGGTGATGGATATGGTCTGAAGACCTACATACACCAGTCCTTCTCTCCAGGGATGTGGTCATGCTGGAGTTGCCAGTGGCTGAAACTCAGGCCTGTGAGCTGCCTGCAAGTCTAGGGCCAGGAGACAGGACTCTGAGGCCCCATCTCCATTAGCAGAGCTTCAGGGAATTCTACCAGCATTCAGTGGATCTTGGGGTCAGACTGACTGGAACAGAACTGTGCTTCTACCAGCATGGGGGCGTCAGGCCATGGCCACTTTACCTCTCGGTGTGTCATTTCCCTATCTTTATGAAGAGAATACTAGCAAATTTTGTTTTTAAAAAGGAGGAGAAGGAGGGGCAGTGGTAGAGCCTATCTCATCGGGTTATTATGAAGATTAACTGAAACTAGTTCAAACATCCGGTACACAGTCCCGCTTAGGTAATGAATCAGGGCTCTCCCCTTCTCTCTGCTTGCCTTCCCCCTAACCAGGAGGCTGGAGGCTGAGGGCAAAATCCTCCTGAGTGACAGCTGGCTGAATCAGCAACCCCCACTCCACACTGTTGCCCAGCAGAAAGTCCAGGGGACAAGGTTCTGAGGGTAACTGCTCTTTTCCCTCCTCCCTTGTGTACAGCTGTCCTTGCTTTTCTAGACATGACATGCATTCAATTGTCTTACCATCACGGGGGATAGGATGGCCTGAGGCAGCCTCTAACCACACATTCCTTCAATAACAAGATCAATTCTCCAAGGGCAAATTTTCCTCCAAGAGCCATCCCCCATTCTCTTTTATAGCCCATCTGCCTGATCCTCCCCACCCACAGCCTGAAAACCCATTTCCCGCCTCTGGACTCCTGTCACCCACACCCAAGGCTTTTTTGGGTCCAGGACTGTGAGCTCATTTTGCTTCCTTTCTGTAATTCCTGGAGGGTAGAGATCAGACTGGTCTCGTTTACTCCTGGGTCCCATGTGCATAACACAGCTCCTGGTACACAGTAGAGACTCAGTGAGCATTTAATACATGCATAAGTGTACTTTTTATGATGATAAAATACACATAACATAAAATTAA